AAGATGGGTTCCAACCCTGATTCTGGCATACAGCTGTGTATGTAAACTTTGGACAGATGATTGAACCTTTCCATATTTCACTTTCCTTACCTGTAGAACAGGGGAAATGATAGTGTTTGCTCAGAGATTTTGTTGCAAAGCTTAAACTAGTTAGGAGATAGAAGGTGCTTGGAGCATTGTCTGTCATGCAGTGATATTTCAAAATGTTAGCTCTGTTGTTTCATAAAATTCTACTTATCCTGTAAGACCTGTCCGATATTACCTTTTTGGGAAAACTTCCTGAAATCCGTGGAATTCATTGTTCTTTTTCTTCTTTTATATATTATTGTTTATAATTGCCTTAGAGCTTTTATCATACAGTGTTATAGTTAGTTCATGATGGGCAAATGCATAGTATGTGGGCCTCCCCTTCTATTCCTGTGCTCATGGTCGACCTTGGTACAGTCACACATTGCTTCTGGAGGAGGCCCTAACACTTGGCCTAACCTTCTCAGCCCCATCCTTTAGTGTTAGCATGCAGGGATACCGACTTGCCCCGGTGAGAGTTAGTTGTGTACCCCCTGGCTCTCCCCTTAGCTTGTGAGCCCCTTCAGGAGATAGACATTTTTGCCCTTGTCCCCTGTGTATAGCACAGTGCCAAGCACTCAGCAGGCACTCAGTACAGCTTTGTTGAATGAATGTCAATTTGAATAGTAAAAACGAGGCTCTGAAATGGTGGTTCTTAATCTCATCCCCTACCCTCCCCCTCAATATACTTGCCTTGTACAACTGACCCATCACTGACAGAGTTTGAAACAGCCCCAGATGATTTTGATAGAAACTCAATCCCTTCTCTTTGAAAATCATTGGCTAAAATATAAAAAAGCAGTTATTGGAGTAGAAGAAAAGGCCATATAGAGTAAGAAGAAATGTATTCTCTTTGTCATTTGTTACCAGAAGACTAGAGAGAAGTTGTCCTTCTTGTTCTTTTGCAAAGCTAACCTGAAAGTAAATGATTACTTCAGTAGGTACACTCTGACCAAGTATGGCTTTTGATAGTGGCCCAGCTGTGTTTTCTTTCCTTTTCTGTTAAATGAAAATAATGCCTACTTCAAAAGGACTGGTAAATTTGGATAAAACTCTTTAAGAAAGGAAACAATGGACTCCTTACAGCCCATTTAATGATATGTATATTTAGTAATATTAATTCATATTTTATTGAATAAAGTTGAAGTTCCACATTTGGCCTTCTGATTTCTTCAGGGAGCTAAATTATTCATTAAACATTTATTGAGGATCTGCTGTGTGCCAGGTACAGTGCTGGGCTCTAAAGACAGGAAGAGTAGTAAGATGGAATTCCTCAGTCACCTTTCTGTAGTGGGGAACACAGACATGCGGACTACTACTATAAAGCAGAAACTGACAAGTAAAATGACAGTGTTTTAATCTCCCACTAAGATTGTGGGTTTGTCTGTCATTTTACTTGTCAGTTTCTGCTTTATATATTTTGACACTGTTGTTACGTGAAGATTTGGGATTATGCTATATCCATGGTGGATCAACTCTTAACATTATGAAATGTCCCTTTTTTAATCTCTGGTGAAGCTTCTTATTTTGAAGTCTGTTTTGTTTGATTAGATAGTTATGGCAGCTTTTTTGGTTAGAGTATGCATAGTCTATCTTTTTCCATCCTTTTTCTTTCAGCTTTTCTCTGTCGTTTGTGTGTAATGTGTGTCTCTTGTAAGTACGGTAGTTAAGTGGTGCTCCCCGTCCATCCCTGCCGATCTTTTACTTGCATATTTAATATGTTTATATTTAAATAATTAATGATTCTTTTGGGATTAGATCTAAATCTTATTGTTTTCTATTTGTCCCATCTCTTTGTTTTTTTTTTTCTCTCTTACATTCTTTGGGTTAATCATATTTTAAAAAATAATTCCATATTTTTTAACTTCTCTATTACCTTTTTATTATTTTTTTAAAAGATTTATTTATTTTAGAGAGAATTAGTGTACACATGCACGTGGTGGGGAGGGACAGAGGGAGAAGAAGAGGGAGGGAAGCAGACCGCCCCCACTGAGCGCAGAGCCTGAAGCGGGGCTTGATCTCACTACCCTGAGATCATGACCCGAGCCAAAATTAAGAGTCCAGACTCTTAACCAACTGAGACACCCAGGTGCCTCTCTTTCAGTAGTTTTTTATTATGACAAGACTTTATCAATAATAATTCAATGCTTTATCACAGCCTGCTGGGTAATACGGGGACCTTAGAACACTAATTTTATTTGCCCCTTTCTGCTTTTTTTTTTTTTTTTTTGGTCATGCATTTTAATTCTATTTTTTAAATAACCACAAGAGATTCCTGTAATTGTTTTGTAAAGTCAGTATCA